CATATGTAACGCAGATTATATCCCGGATATTTGGTTCTATACCGGTTATTCTTATAGTAAAAATTGAAGGATAAGAAGATTTAGAAAATGTTAAATTCTACTAGTGCATAGTTTTCATTTTCTAGTCTTCTTGGTTTAGACCGCTTGGTTTCAATGTTCTAAGGCGGCGTATCCAGTATGATTCCTTTTCCTCCCTGGTTTCGGAACTCCAGCTGTGGTTGTTGGCAATAGCGATAAGTATTATATCACTGAAAGTGTGGCCAGGGGAGGAGAAGTGTTCTGCGACCGGGCTTCTGTACAGCTTTTTTGTCATCCAATCAGATCTATGAAGGTTTATCCTTATGTGTAGCTTTTCAGTTTCTCCCACGTACTGAAGGCCACAGATCTTACATGTGATGAGATAAATCACATTCTCTGTTTTGCACGTTTTGTTTGGACCATGTATGTTTAGTTTTTCTTTAGTCACTGTGCTAGTGAATGTCTTGGTCTCTATCATATGTTGACAGGTTTTGCATCTTTTATCGCCACAGGGTCCAGATTGACTAGGTTGGTTTTGACTAGCGATTGTTGTTAGCTTGGCCCTGACTAGGATGTCCTTTAGGTTTTTTGGTCTCCGGTAAGCTACTACAGGTTTGTTCGGAAGACATTCACTAGCACAGTGACTAAAGAAAAACTAAACATACATGGTCCAAACAAAACGTGCAAAACAGAGAATGTGATTTATATCATCACATGTAAGATCTGTGGCCTTCAATACGTGGGAGAAACTGAAAAGCTACACATAAGGATAAACCTTCATAGATCTGATTGGATGACAAAAAAGCTGTACAGAAGCCCGGTCACAGAACACTTCTCCTCCCCTGGCCACACTTTCAGTGATATAATACTTATCGCTATTGCCAACAACCACAGCTGGAGTTCCGAAACCAGGAAGGAAAAGGAATCATACTGGATACGCCGCCTTAGAACATTGAAACCAAGCGGTCTAAACCAAGAAGACTAGAAAATGAAAACTATGCACTAGTAGAATTTAACATTTTCTAAATCTTCTTATTATCCTTCAATTTTTACTATAAGAATAACCGGTATAGAATCAAATATCCGGGATATAATCTGCGTTACATATGTACACAAAGTAAAAATAGATGTCGCTTTGGCTTGTAGACTTTTAGGGAATTGTACAACATTTTCAGTTTCCGCAACTAGTCTATACAAGCTGGTTGTATTTATAGTTTTAGCACATGTGAATATAGAAATGTAGAGGTTTACAAACGCAACGTTTTTGTGTTTATTTGTTTGTCGTAACTATGTTTTGTATTTGCCTTTGAAAAATACTCATTAAGAGTCGAAAGCGCTTAGGCTAGTTAGTTACTAGTTTCGTACTGTTCGTCGTCAGTTTATTGCATCTAAATATATATATATATATATATATATATATATATATATATATATATATATATATATATATATATATATATATATATATATATAAAATCAAAGTGCACTGCTTTTGATATATGTTTATGACTTCAGGGTACTGCTATAGTGAATAGGTCTGATTTCATTAGCCTGTATCTCCCAATATTACAAGTTCACCATGTTATTAATTACACTATCCTATAATAAAACAGCCTGGCTTTTAAATAAATATGTAAATCAATTCGTAACAAGCAAACTAGTGTATTCTGGATATCAACGAGGAACAAGCACACTAGTGTATTATGGATATCGAGTGGCATCACTAGGGTTAGTGGCACCTGAGTGCAGTAACTCATGGTGTCACCCCCATGGACCTCCTTCCTGCACACAAATTCAAAAATTTTATAAAAGATCATTTTGGTGTCATTCCCTCTGATAGTGTCACTAGGTGCAATTCACACACCCTCACACCACACCCCTAGTGACACCACTGTGGATATCAATGAGGAACAAGCACACTAGTGTATTTTGGAAATCAACAAAGAACAACTTACACTAGTTTGTTCTAAATATCAATCTGGTACAGGCAAACTAATGTACTTGGCATATCAGTGAGGAAAAATTGTATTCTGGATTTCCATAAGGAATAAATACAATAACACTTTAATAATATATTGGAGAAACGAGAACATCTGCACTCAGCATTGATATTTATAAAAAACAGTAATTTCTTCATCATGAAATCTGGATTCTACCCTATCAAGTCTTGTCTGGAGTATGAAGAAAACAAAACATGGAGAAAGCATCAATATATTCAATTTATAAAAATATTAGCACATCATTTTTCAATATCAATTTACATCATGTAAATCATTTGATATTTCATTCTAGTATTAAATTAAATTAGAGATCTACATGGTTTATTAAAATCCATCACAAACTATTGCACTTAATAACAGTAACTACTTTGCATGCACATATACAAATATCCAATGCACTATTTTGCATCAGCACTGTTGCAAAGTTGTATTTATACAAGGCAGACAAAAATTGAAATAATTCTTACATATGATTTTCTCCCCAAAATTGACATGGAATCCAAAACAAGATCATAAAGATTTGTGTAATGTAATATTAAACATTTTAAGCCAAAATAACAGGCGGTGCCAAAGAAAACATTGATATACCTAAATGTACTAAAAATTGTGTCCTTTTCAGTTCCAGATTTGCCACTGCTTTACAATTAAAATTATTGTCCATGGCTAACTTGTTTTCTTTCGGACTAATTATTTGCATATATAAAAAAATACATTAAACTATATATTCAAGAATTTCACACAGCAACAGTATTTTATTCCACTATACTGTTTTTAAAAATTTATTATTAACTGACAACACATATACTTACTATATTGTGAAAATCCAATCCAGAAGTTCATCTGATTGGGTCTACAAACAAGATTAGGAAAATTATGATATGGTTTGTTGTTGTTGTTGTTGTTGTTTCTTTTTCTTTTCCTAACTCAGGCCTAGGTCATAATATTTTGTTCTCATCCAGTTTAATATGCTGATGTACCAAGACAAAAAAAAAACCATCTAGTGCGAAGGACAGGCCAATTGTTTGTTGTACAGACCCTGGGGCATTCAATCAATCAATTACAATTTGTTACCTTTTATAAGTCCAGCTCTTCTGCTTTGTCTCTACAGAGTGATTAAACATTTATGAAACATAGACACCAAATAAATGCATGGTATAATTTAATTGTGCCTTGTCTTCAAAACAGGGATATGTTTTAAGCTCATTTTTCATTTTCAAGCATGTCCAGCAAATTTGTGGAATTTAGGGTCTGTGATATATATATATATATATATATATATATATATATATATATATATATATATATATATATATATATATATATATATATATATATATATATATATATATATATATATATATATATTGAGAGAGAGAATTATAAATATACACCAGACAAAATGCTATCACTGGATTCTATTCAAGAATGCTTTATAATATTAGGCAGAATTAGAATTTAATAAAAATAATACTATCATACAGGTTAGAAAATTTTTAATTTATACTCTATGAAGATTAGAACCCAGGTCCATGAGGAAACAACACCCATCGCCTTACATGCACAAACCAGCCCATACTCCTCCCCATCTTAGCAACATCAACAAAAAATGATGTGCTTGAATCAGAGTTATATGCACTCAGGCATAACAGATGACCCATAACTAATTCTCATCTAACTACACAGTCTTTCTGGATATATATATATATATATATATATATATATATATATATATATATATATATATATATATATATATGTATATATTTATTTATATATAAATATATATATTTATATATATATATAAATATATATGTATGTATGTATGTATGTATGTATGTATGTATGCATGCATGCATGCATGCATGCATGCATGCATGCATGCATGCATGCATGCATGCATACATACATACATACATACATACATACATACATACATACATACATACATACATACATACATACATACATACATACATACATACATACATACATACATACATACATACATACATACATACATACATACATACATACATACATACATACATACATACATACATACATACATACATACATACATACATATATATATAAATATAAATATATAAAAATATATAAATATATATATATATATATATATATATATATATATATATACACACACATAATACAAATCATAATATGAATAAAAAACCTTTCAAACACACTGGATCCAGCAAGGGATGATGTGTGTCAGGGATTGATTGAAATAGATGCAATTAATTGAGGACAAACAGTGCAAAGCTAGTATCTAACTAGCCTTATATAATTAGAAACTGGTTTTGCACTGTTTGTCTTCAGTTCATTTTATGAAACAATTATATTTGTATCCATGTTGATGACATTTTAAATACATGTAGCAAATATGTTTTATCATCCACTGAAAGTGTCAACTTACAGGTACAGGTACCAGTTCAAAAGAAATTGTCATTTGTCATTTCCAGGAGCAGACAAATCAGCTGCAAATTTCACAATAAATATCTCAATTACTGATATCACAAATATAACATCACAATCAGAATTAGCATCTAACAAGTCAATATCCTTAACAATGGACCCACACAGACTTGTCTGTGCTTCAGGTATGATAACAAGGGAAACATCACGTCATTGTTATCACTGGTAATGATATTTGTCTGCTCACTCAACTCTGTCTTAACAAAACAATTTGCTACACAGTCTGAGGAAACATTGCACATGGCATGATATGTGTGTGTGTATGATTTAGATTTTTAATGTAGCTTTAAAAAAATTTCAGTCTTATCACTATGATATCTGCAGTGTGGCAGTTTACAGTGTATAGGGGCATTATGCTGCAGACATGTAGCATGTCCCACCCAGTCACATTATCCTGACACCAGGCTGATCAGTCCTAACACTATCCTCTTAATGCTGGGCACCAAGAGAGGCTGCTGTTGGGACCATTTTTGTAAGTCATTGGAATGACTCAGTCGGGGATCAAACCCATGACCTCCACATCCAAGACAGATGCTCTAACCACTAGGCCATCAGAGCGGTACACATGGCATTATAAATCAGATTGCAGACAATACAGTCATATCACACTGATTTCTTATGTCTGAGCTCATGAGTTGTCTTTAGATAAAAAGGCATTGGTATTCTGACTTCAAATTGAAGATGACTTTTTTAAACAAAGAAGAGATTTACTTGAAACTGTACTCAGTTAATAAACATGCACAGAACAATACCTAAAGGATGTTTATAAATTTCTTGGTCAGAAAAGCATAAACAAAGCATTTCATTTTATGGGTTCAAACCCTGACTGAATCATAACAAAGACATAAAAATGGTACTAACAGCTGCCTTGCTAGGGACTCAGCATTAAGAGGTTAGTCTTAGAACTGGTTGGCCTGGTGTCAGGATAATGGAAAATTGTTTTAGATACATTAAAAACTCTAATTCATGCAAATCACACAATCATATTTAAATTGCACTGCACCAGCTATCCATGATTCTAAATTATCAAATATGAATGAGGTGTGACATGGCATCTTTCTTACATCTTTGTTATTTAGCAAATATGAATTAGGCATGATTATCATACAACAGTTGTTACCAAGCATCTTTGTTATTTAAACAGCCACCATTGTTTTGTTGGCTTTGGCATGTTCAATGATAAAACTGTTATAATTTAACTATTTTTTCTGATGAATGATGGACCACATAATGAGAATCCTATAACGAATTAAATGATGCAAAAAAGAATATTTATAAACAAAATCTTTGGAATATATAGCAATTAGAAATTTTGTTGGAGAAAATGTAATAATAATATATATATATATATATATATATATATATATATATATATATATATATATATATATATATATATATATATATATATATATATATATATATATATATATATATATATATATATATATATATAGACAGAGCCAAATTTGTATAGAGGTAATCTTGCCCTCAAGTCCAATACCATGTTATGATAAATCTACAAAATGCATTAAGTTAGTAATACACTGATACTTGTTAAAAATTACTGTACAGTGAAGCGATGATGGTTAATGATCAAATGTTTTAGTTTGAATTTCTTGCATAATATGATCTTACAATATACACACTGACAAGAATCCATTATGTCTCACCTGCTTTTGGATCTCCAAATGTCACTATGATCGAAAGAAATTTAAATTGCCAACAAGTAATCAGATATTTTTTTCTGGTTCATTAACAGCTGTTCAATAAATGTATTGTTCAAATGATGAAAATTACAACAGCTGTTACAGCAGCTATTTATTGGCATAAAGGAGGACTTGATTGTCCTGTAAACTTAGCTTCTAATCGGACACAATTAAACAAAGAACAGATGATTTCCAAACATATTGTTAATGTGAGAGAAAATCAATAATTAATGTGGCATGATATCAAACATTCATCTCTAAAACTGCATTAAAATGATCAAGAGGATAAATTAACAACATTTCAGGCCATCACAATGTAGAAATTATATTTGATTTCCAACTGGTTTTTAATGGATGGAACAAAATTAATAACTTCAGTATACATGTCAGTCTCCTGAGCAGGATGACAGTTCTCATCCCTAATGCCAACATTTAGAATCTCTTATCTCATCACTACAAAATAATATTTGATAAAATATTTCTGGGTTTAAATGTGCTCAATATCCATTCCTGTGCTGATAATGTTTTCTTATTTTCAGAATCTGATCTATCTAATGCTTGCATACAATATATAGCACAGGAAGAGAATTTTATTTCAAGCATCTTAGTGATTCCAAAAATGATTGGTGCAAGTCGCTTTTGTTCACAAATCCTAAGTAAATGCCCAGAACTTAATTAGATCTAGATGACTGGAATCCTTGCATGAAGGGTTCAATGTCTTACCCAAATATCCAAACTACTTTCAAGGATTTCAACTGATATATTTGTAATATAACTTTGTATTGCTCACCTCATCAAAATTCCTTCACAGGTTAAAAAGTGTTTGTTAAATAGAAAACAGCTGACATGTTTCAAATTACTCTTGATCAAGCAGTTGCCAAACAAAGCAAATCTTGAACCTGATAAAGGTAACAATAAACTAAAACAACCTTTCATCTTTAAATATCTAGAAGAAATTATTATTGAATCACTTTGAGAAATGTAACATCAAGGTCATCAGCATTAATCATGAAGTTATGGCTATTTTATAGTTTTACAACTGGAGAATGTACAATGAGAGACAAACCAGTCATGTACATAGATTCCTTCTGATGCTATATTGTTTTAAGTGGTGTGATATAAAGTGTTTGAAAAAAATATGTTCTGTATGTAAGTCATTGTCTTTTCGCTTTCCCATTAAAGTAAATTCAGTTTACATTTATTTCTGATAAAGTGTTCAAAATCTCCACTACTGGAACTTCACAAATTCTTGTAGTTTCAGTTTTATTTAGTGGCATATTTCTCCTTGATCACTTCTTTGTTGCATGTACCTGGTTGATCTTCCTACCTCTTAAAATAACGGCAATTAACAATTCTCTATTTTAAAATATTAGAGTCAAGATCACTTCAAACATTTTTTGAAGGAAAATGTAGACTATCACTTAGACCAATTTAGAGGTAACATGATCCTTTTCCGGATAGTCTTTTGTCAAAGATAATCTTTATGTTATTTATATTTGAATGCACGGGCAAGTTTCTAGTAAAAGTTATCACCAATGGCAGTAAATGTGTACAATGCAAAGACCTTCATAATTTTACAAAGAAATAGAAATGCAAACAGAATTCTTATTTTTGAATGTACATTGAAACATCATCATACACGAGTTCTTTATTGACAAGCAAGGATATACAAAACCTGGTTTATATACCTAGACAAGGTATTTGTTGTGTATGCTGATACATATATATGTAAATAAAGATAATAATTTACCAGGAAAATATTTTTTTTTTTAAATCTCAGCCAAATATGTTCATTTTAATTCTAGCAGTTGTTTACTTGGCTTTCCTTCATAAAAAAAACACAGAAAAATTACAATAAATTGACTGCAGGCATTATTTTATATTCAAGTTACTGCTTAAAGAAAGATTTCATGCAACACAGTTTATAATTTAATAATAAAACTAATAATAATAATAATAATAATAATAATAATAATAATAATAATAATAATAATAATAATAATAATAATAATAATAATAATAATAATAATAATAATAAATAATAATAATAATAATAATAATAATAATAATAATAATAATAATAATAATAATAATAATAATAATAATAATAAAGTCTTTATTTTATTTTATGAGGTTGATACAGTACAAAAACTAATCTCCCATGTGGCCATCAGTTCTCTGTGTACTTTTACAGGTAATTATATAAAGTACTGCTGGGAATAAATATCATACAAAAATGATATAATGGATTGGTGTACTGTATGTAAGAGCAACTAATTAATTGTATTCAACACATGGAATATTGTGTGATGATTGACAAAACACATACACACCCCCACCCCCACCCCCTACAAACACACACACACACACACACACACACACACATAGGGAATAATATTCAAATCCTAATTAATAGTGAAAGTTTGAGAATTTATTGATAACTGTCCATACATATTGAGTTAAATTTATTGATGAATGGAGAAAATGGAGGAGGTACTAACTGCTGGTTTGAAAGTGCATTATATTCATCTGTTGGTGCAGTATTCTGCCATTTCTCTCTCTCTCTCTCTCTCTCTCTCTCTCTCTCTCTCTCTCTCTCTCTCTCTCTCTCTCTCTCTCTCTCTCACTAATGTATATTTAGTTGGCTTTTATCTGAGAACAGCCTCTGTTATTATATTTGTATTGTTGTGTCTGCGTGCACTTACTCATTTAGTCCCACACTTCACTATTCCCTCATTATTTATTTTTTGTTTGCATGGTTTAATATTTTATATCCTTTTTAAATCATATTTAATTCAATATAATAAAATTCATTGCTGGTTCTAATTCATTATCATTTTTCAATGACTCAACGCAATAATCTCCTTGTTAAAAATTTAACTTAAGATTGTTTGGTTTTATATACATGTAGATATAATAATATACATGTAAATATACAGTATTTTCCCCGAATATATCCAGCAGACGCAGATAATCTGCACCCTCATATAGCCTTCAGGTTTGGGGATTTTGTGTAAAAAATCATTGGCATAACCCACACCTTTGTATAACCCGAACTATATTCCGGCTGACTGCTGGCAGATTTGAATTTTGAAACCATTGGGCATTTATTGGTCTATGTATGGTACTACCCTATTACCAATAGATGAAGACAATGAAGCTGCCTTTTCATCTGTCGTTTATTGTTTCTAGAATCTGGATACCAGGTATTCAACCCTTCTGCTGTTGGCCTGGTGGCAGATATGAACAAACATTAATTGTTGCGGTCCTGATCAGACAATTCTTTGCTATAAACTAAATATGGTTATGAAGCCTTGTTTACATCTGATGGGTGATGAAACATTTGACAAATTTTCATTTATAATAAAGGAAAGGAAATCACTTGATATAAATTGCTCAGTGTGGCAGATGGATACAGGGTACATAAACAGACATTTCTAAATAATCTTGTATTCTTGTGAAGTGTAGATTTGAGTTTCAATAATTTCTTTCTGTTAAATTTAAAAAATGCCAAAATGGAAAGTTGCAGCCCCTGGATATTGCTGTCAACCATCACTTTATAACTTATGTGCATGTGAAATGGGAAAATTGGATGGCAAATGGGGAACATTTGTTCACCCCAGCAGGCAGACAATGCAGGGCAACATGTGCAGAAGTGTGCAAGTGGATTGTGATAGTTTAGAACAAAATAGAACAGGAAATGATGCGAAATGGATTCGTCAAAGCTGGATTGATCCATCCTCCTGTTGAAGCTCCAGCAAGTTCTGACCATTTTGATGACGAAGAAGAGGATCAACATGTCAACAAGCTGCTCTTGGCATTCTGGACAATGACAGTGACATCAATGAGG